TTCTGGATCGGCGTCCCCGTCAGGAGGAGCCGGTTCCGGCAGGAGAAACCCAGCAGGTTCTTCCACCGGGAGCTCTGGGACGACTTGATGGCCTGGGCCTCGTCCAGGATCATGTACTGCCACTTGACTTTTTGGAAGTACTGAGCGTCCAACACGACCAGCTGGTACGAGGTCACCAGCACGTGGAACTCGGACTCCTTGGTGTAGGTGATGTGCTTACGGTCCCAGAACTTGCGGAGGATCTTGCGGTCCTTGGCCGACCCCCAGTACGGCAGGACCTTGATGTTGGGCACGAACTTGGTGATCTCCTGCTGCCAGTTGTGCAGGGTCGACGCGGGGGCGATGACGAGGAAGGGGCCCCAGATGTTGTGGACCTCGGCCAGGTACGCCATCACGGAGATGGACTGGATGGTCTTCCCCAGGCCCATCTCGTCGGCCAGGATGCCGTTGATGCCTTGCTCGTACAGGTTGACGAGCCAGTTCAGGCCCTTGAGCTGGTACTCCTTCAACTTGGCGTTGAGCATGGTCGGCTGCGAGATCTCGATGTCTCCGAGACTGGTGGGGTTTTGGAAGTTCAACTCGCCCTCGTCCATCGTCGCCATCGGATCCTGCTCGTTAAAGGCCCGCGCCCGGTCCTGAGCCTGCTGGACGGCATTCTGCGCGTTGGCCCGCGCCGCGGCCTGCAGGGCGGACTCGTCCTCGGCGTCAAAATCGAGATCCTCGAAATTGGTGACCTGGCCCTCCGCACCGGACGCGGCGGCGGCGGCGGCGGCAGCAGCGGTGCCACTGCCGCCGGTCTCCCCGGCCGTCTCGCCCTCCGCGTCGTCGACACCCTGGATCTTGCGCCCGATGAAATGGGAGTACAGCTCGGTCTGAGAGATGAGGAAGTTGAGCTTGCGGCGCTGGCGGTTGGCCTCGCGCTCAGCCTCAGCCTTCTTGGCCGACTCGATCTCCTGTTTCTCGGCGAGACGGCGGAGGTCGCGCTCCTCGCGCTCGTTGCGCTTCCAGAAGGACATCATCTCGCGCATGGTGCGCTTGGCGCGGGCCTGGGTGTCCTTCATACTCTTGTTGGTACGTTCCTGCCACTTGCGGGACTGCTTGCTGGCCAGCTGGGCGGTCTTGCGCAGGTTCTCCTGGCGGGTACTGAGGGAGATAGCCTTAACCCGGTAGACCTTGGGGATGTCCTTGCGGGCGATGTCGCGCCAGATCTGCTCGTAGATCTGATTGTAGCCCTTGGTCTCGTAAGCGGAGACGGGCACCGGGGTTGTTTCCTTGGAGCGGCCGCCCTTGGCTTCCTTCTTGAGCGTGTCCTTGCGAGGGGCGGCCGCGGCCGCGGCAGCGGCAGCGGCCTCCTTGGGCGCCAGCGGTAGGGGTTCGTCGTTCTCCATGGCGGCGTAGGCGGCCTCGGCGGCATCCTTCTCGGCTTGCTTCTGCTCCTTTGACTTCTTGGGTCGGCTGGAGTTTCCGCTGCGGCCGGACTTGCGGCGGGACGGGGAACTGCGGCCGATGTGGAAGGAGCTGGTGGTGCCGCCCTCGAGGTTGGGAGCCAGCGGGGTGACCTCACCGATCTCCTCGGGAGCCGTGACGCCCTCGAGGGCGCGTTTGGTGGTCTTGATCTTCCGCTGGGCGCGCTCGGCCTCGCGCAGGAATTTGGCCTTCTCGGCGGAGTCCTGGGCCTTGTGGGCCTTGCGCTCGGCCTCCAGCTTCTTCTGCATCTCCAGGCGCACCGTGTTCTCCCGCCGGCGCTTGCGCTGCATGTCCTTCTTGCGCTCCTTCTCATCCTGGACCTCCTTGGCCTGGACCTCGGCGATGACGGAGGATTCGTTGGCGAGGCGGAACCGGTCCATGCCCAGGGCAGCTTGCTTCTCGAAGGTCTTTCCCAGCCGGACCAGGAAATCGTGGCGACGGCGCTGTAGAGGGGTCAATTGGTGTCGTGTGTGCACAAGGTCCTGCCATGGTCAATCACGTACCTTGCGTCGAATATTCTCGGCCTTCTCGGCCCCGAAGGCGCGCTTCTTGCCCTTCAGGGTGTAGCGTTCCCGTTCGGCCTCGAACCCGGGGCTCTCGACGTCACTCTTGTCCGCATGGTCGATGTCGGCCAAGGCACGATTCACCGCTTCCATGTCACGTTCGGAGAGCATCTTGCGGGGCCGTGTGGGGTAGGTGATGTGAGATCCCGGCGCGCCGTTGGTCGCGGCGGCATCGGCCGCCTTCTTGTCGGCGTTCCGGCGGCGGCGTTCCGCGGGGGTCTTCTTCTCCGGCCGGGGCGCCGGGGTGGTTTCCACCTCTTTGACCGCCGGGGGCGTCGCGGCCACGGCGGGCGTGGGGGCAACGGGCGCCGGCGCGGGGGCGGGGGCGGTCGCCTGCGGGGCGGTGTCGGGGAGCGGGGAGGGCCTCTTGGGTGGGGAACGTTCCTCCGCCGGACCGGACAGGATGCTGGCGAACGACATCGGATCGGCGGCTCGGGCGGGTTTCTGCGGGGGCACGAGGGTTAGGTTCTGGGGTCTCGGGAGGGCGCGTCCCGTGGACGAGGGGGCTGGTCCTACCGTTTCCTTTGGGGGTGAGGCGTGTGGGGGTTCTCGCGCGATGGCGGACGGGTACCCGGCGACGGCGGGACCGCCCACGGGGTACGGCGAGTCGGCCTCCCGCTTGGGCGAGAGGTAGCCGTCGAGTCGACCGGATGGATGATGATTGCGGGAGGGCGAGTGGTGGCCGTAGGCGGAGTTCGCCGGCAGTGAGGAACCGGAGTAGGGTCGCGGCAGGGGAAACTGCGGCGTGCCCGAGGCCGAGTGGGAGGAGTACGGTGCCGCCGGCTCGGAGGGATGGGAGCCGGCCCCGTTCAGCGGGGGCAGGGTGCCGGGCAAGGGAGACGGCGCATGGGCGTAGTGCGGGCTCCGAGACAGCGAGGCGGGCTGGGCCGGGGGGAAGGCCGGCGGGGTCTGGGGGGGATGCTGGGGATATTCATTGTTGGGATAGTAGGCGCGGTTCTTGTTGGAGGGCGAATAGGCCGGATACCGGGATTGCGAGGTCGGGGACTGGGGGTTGTACGGCGGAGCGCCCGACATGGTGACCGCGAACGCCGGGCACGCGGCGACGAACGGAGATGGACGATTCGCGATCGAGGATGGAGACGGCGATTAATGGGATGACGGGGGGGATCGGAAAAGCGTACGATCCGTCAGGGTACACCGGCGCCAGCCATGCGCGAGACGAATGGGGGAGGATGGAACGTCAGCGACTACGCGTGATTGCAGGACACGGGTTCGATCTTTGGAATCTTCTGCCGGGGGTGTTAATTCACGGTCCGGAGTGGAAAAGGGGGTGTCATGAACTGAAGCAGGAGGAGGAGAAGAGGATGAGGTAGTGATGGGGCGATGAGGGGATCCAGGATCTGGTGGGTAGAAAGGACGAAAGAAATGGAGAGGTGGGAAGTTTGGAAGGGGCGAAAAGGAAGCAGCGAACGGAGGATCGTCAGCGGTCGATCTTTCTCTCTTGATGGGAGGATGAAAGGACTACCACTGGAGGGATTTTCTGAGAATGATGAATTGAAATGACTTACCAGTCCACCGTCCGATCGATGGAGGATTGAGTCGAGCGAGGTGAAGCCCGTCAGCGACGCGCAGTCGGTCGGTTGGAGGAGTTACCGGATTGGGAGAGAGGATGAGAGCAGAGGGAGAAAGATCTGGAGAGATGAAGGAGGAGATGAAGGAAGGGGAAGATGATGCAGGAGAGGAAGAAGAGGGGAGAGAATGGACCAGATGGGGGAAGAAAGAAGGAGGAAAGAAAGAATGAGAAAGTGAAGTGGAGAGAATGAGAAGAAGAAGAGGAAGATGGATTGATGATTCTGGGTCCGTAGAAAGAAGAGACGAGAGAGTGAGGTTCATCGTGTATGGTACGGTCATCTCCATACTATTTGGTCTATATAATACGGTATTTGGGTATGGAGACAACGTGCAATACATTACTCGTATAGCCAACCTGAGGCATCCTCTCCATCACTTCTCTCTCTCTCTCTCTCTCACTCTCGATACCTGCATTCTCTCCATCATTCTTCTTGTTCGATATATTCGATCTTCTGGCATGGAGTTGATCCGAGAGACTGAGAGAATGACACCATGTCCAGGCTAGACCCATGAAGATCATACTGTCTGGACGGTAATCTCGTCTTCTAGCTTGTCAACGCACTGCCATTGCATCCGAGAGCAAGCTCTTCTACAGATCCTGAGAGAAGCAGAAACATGTGTAAAGCATCACTAATAGTGCAGGCCCCTTCAATCCACGCCCGGTACATCATCGGGGTGGGACAAAGCAAGGGCAATACAGAGGATGCTCCCTCCATTTAGTACTCTCATCCGATACATACTCCCCAATGAGAAGAAGAAGCGAACACACCTCTTACATGCCAGTTCGGAAAATGCCAGGCGAGGTCTTTTCTAAAGATTACCCATGGATAGCTGGCCAGCCAGTGCACAGTCCCTTCAATTTTGGATTGATCCCGACCTGTCTGGGTCGAGACTCAAGACACGTACCTCCACAACAACAAAGGAGAGAATTCTCTCTTGTCCAGTGACTGTCAGTGGCTTGTTCAGTAACAAAATCTGTGGATTGAGAATGGAGATTATCTGGTGGTATTCACTTGCTGTGTCTTCACTGCAGTGCAGAGTACTCGGGAGACTGACTGAACCACTGGTGTAGTCACACCACAGACAACCAGTGGCTGTCACCAAGAAGGGCATATCAGAAGGTATAACAAGGGAACGTGATACTGATGCTGCGATGTGCCACTGAGACTCGGAACATCCATATCACCCATATCCATATATCCACCCCGCCCGTTCATCCCTAGTAAAACATAACCAGTCAATCAACCTCCATCAATCTCAACACAGTCTAGACCACCACAATTTTTCACCCCCATCAGCCAACATTAGTGTGTGACAGGGAAAAATCAAGCGAGCAATGGCATGATGCGATGGCTGGGTTGTCGTGCGGAGAAACCAACCCGCTCCAATCTGGTGACGTCTTCTACTCCGTCACCTCTCGTCATGCACTACCGTGCAACCTCTTCGTCTGGCAGTCACTGGCTACCTATTATTAGTGACTGTCTTTGATTTCAAGGGGGATAAAGAATTGGCTCTTATAAGAACCATGTCTCTCGCTGGCTGATGTAACTTTCTTACATTTCTACCCTACTACACCTTCTTCTACATCTACATCTCCCACCTCACTACCTCTACCACTACCGCCCAAGTATACCACCAAAATGTCCCTCCCAGACAAGCAATGGGCCCAGGTGGTGGAAAAGAAGGGCGGCCCCCCAGTCTACAAGCAAATCGCCGTCCCCAAGCCTGGCCCGGACGAAATCCTCGTCAAGATCCGCTACTCCGGCGTCTGCCACACGGACCTCCACGCCATGAAAGGCGACTGGCCGCTGCCGCTGAAATTGCCGCTGGTCGGCGGACACGAAGGCGCGGGCGTGGTCGTCGCCAAGGGCGAGCTGGTGAACGAGTTCGAGCTGGGCGACCACGCCGGCATCAAGTGGCTGAACGGCGCGTGCATGACCTGCGAGTTCTGTCGACAGGGCGAGGAGCCTCTGTGTCCTAATCCTCAGCTCTCGGGCTATACCGTCGACGGTAGCTTCCAGCAGTATGCGATCGGCAAGGCTGCTCTGTCTTCCAATATCCCCAAGGACGTGGCCCTCGACGCGGTCGCCCCGATCCTCTGCGCCGGTCTCACTGTCTACAAGGGTCTGAAGGAGTCGGGGATCCGTCCCGGCCAGACGGTCGCTATTGTCGGCGCTGGTGGTGGATTGGGCTCGCTCGCTCTGCAGTATGCCAAGGCTATGGGTCTCCAGGTGGTTGCTATCGACGGGGGGGATGAAAAGAAAGCCATGTGCGAGAAGCTTGGTGCGAAGGTAACTCCCTCCCCTTCCCCTTCTCTTATACTTCCCCAAGAAAAACCAAAGAAACTAAAAGAGAACAGACCTACGTCGACTTCACCAAATCCAAAGACGTCGTCGAAGACGTCAAAGCCGCCACCCTCGACGGCCTCGGCGCGCACGCCGTCATCCTCCTTGCCGTCAGCGAAGGCCCCTTCCAGCAAGCCGCGGGATACGTGCGCTCTCACGGATCCATCGTCGCCATCGGTCTTCCCGCACACGCGTACCTCAAGGCGCCCGTGTTCAACACCGTCGTGCGCATGATCAACATCAAGGGCAGCTACGTCGGCAATCGGCAGGATTCGGTCGAGGCGATTGAGTTCTTCGCGCGTGGGTTGATTCATGCGCCGTTTAAGACGGTGCCGTTGAAGGACCTGCCGCAGGTTTTTGAGTTGATGGGTTTGTTTCCTTTTCTTCTTCTTCTTCTTCTTCTTCTTCTTTTTTTTTTTTTTTTTTTGTATGGAAAGTGTTGTCCTTGAGAGAGTATACTGACAATAAACAGAACAAGGCAAGATCGCAGGCCGCTACGTTCTCGACGTGCCGCAGTAATCAATCATCATCGTCACACCAAACCCCAGACACTATCAACCAGTTGAATGGCCAATATCGATCTCATCGAACGTTGACGAAAGAAACAGATACGAAACAGAATGACATGACTAGCACCAATAGCTAATACACATAATGAACCATTCCATATAATGTCTTCCTCACATAGGTTCTTCAAGAGAAGATATTTATTTGTAAACAGTACTCCCGTAGTAATCAGGGGAATCGTCTCTCATACCGCTTTCTCCTCATTGCTGAAGTAAATGAGCGATGGATAGATAGATAGACAACATGAGATCTGTGCATCTTATGTTGGAAGAGAAGATAGAGCCGTATGACGATACAATCAAGTTTTACCATTCTAGTCAATCATGGCTGTTCTAGATGTAAACCTCCATGTTTACTCCAAGCTTGCCAATCATATAGTTGAGAATAATGAAGATACTAAATTGACCTAAGTATTGGTCCAGACTCTTACTAACCCACGGGTTTACAGAGCATCGGCGAGTTATAGAACTATCACCGTCTAAAGAATACTAGAAAATAGAGGAAACAAACACGCTGAGACAGACAGACATACATCTCTATCCGAACATCAACTCAACCAGTCCAGAGTATCCAGACCCTGGACATCAAACCATAATCGATGCCAGTGAACATCACCAGTCAATACCAGTGCACATCACAAAAGATACTAGTGAGTATCACCAATCAATAAGTAAACTGTCAACAAACCAAGCAGGAATCAACCAAAACCAGCAAGGACCAGAAACCGGGAGTTAAGAAAATCATAGTACAAGTCATTAAACCGCCCCCGGCCCCGGTCCCTTATGATTCGACTGGTCGAGCAACAGTCGCGGCTTAATATAATCCTCATCTAGCTGCCTGAACCAAGCCCCATGGTCTCCGGACGGCCCGCCGGAGAACAAATCGCGGATTGCGTCCCGGGCGCTCAACCCCGAGGCTGCCTCGCGTCGCAGAGGGGACATACTGGCCGTCTCTGCCGCATGCGGGCCGCTGGACGGCATCGGCTGTGAGGGTGATCGTCGCAGTCGCGAGACTGACGGGGCGGTGGGTGGCAGGTCCTCGTCGTCGTTGTCGTCCACATCGATTTCAAACGCGTCGGGGTGGTCCGGGTCAGACAGTCGACCCTTGCTGCTCGACCGCAGGCCGAACTCGTCCTCGCTGGCTGCACTGCTGTCGTCGTGCGGACCGGCACCCCCGAGAAGGGTGGCTGTCGAGGATCGGTCGCGCGGGGTTTGCGTATCCCGAGGGTTGTATGCATTCGAAAAGAGACGCGTGTGTCCGCGACTCCGGCCGGACGACGACGCCCGTGGGGGACTCGGCCGGCGGTTGTTGCCACTCGAATAGCTATCGGTCCGCTCAAGATCCCCTCGCGGCGTCACTCCGTCCAAGGGGATGGTCGAGTCCATGCGGCGAGGGGTGTACCCCAGCGCCGTGTCCGAACGCTTGTAGTATGTGCCCCCGTGGGTCACTTCGATGTCGAACTCGTCATCCGACTCCAGCTCCTCCACGACACCCGTGCGGATGCCGAGGATCTCCAGCATGCGCGCGGTCGTCCCGCCGAAGATGATGACGGTGAGCACGACCACCACCAGGACGGTGGCCCGGAGAGCGGGCGCGTTGACCCCTTTGAGGCCTGCCGCCAGTGCGACACCGACTGCGCCGCGCAGCCCCGCCCAGAAGAGCATCGCCTGGTAGGCAAAGGGCAGCTCGTCCGCAACCTCCTGTCCACGCCGGCGGGCCCGGTATCGAATGAACCAGTTGATCGCCTTGGACAACGGAAACACGGCGAGATAGCGAGCAAGGCAGATGCCGAAAATCGACACCATGATGAACAACGGCTTGAACTGCAGGTGGCGCTGGACCAGCAGATCCAGACCGAGGTAGATGAAGATGAAATTCTCCGACAGCTGGGCCATCACCTGGAATAGATACTTTGTGGTCAACTGCGTCCGTCGCGACATGTTGTAGTAGGCATAATGTTTCAATGTGATCCCACAGAACAGGAGCGAGACGATCCCTGGAAACGGTCAGCAAACGCGGTGGTCACCTTCCAACCATGGAGTGACATACCGGACAGATACACGCCGTTGGAGAAAAAGTAGCTCGCGTAAGCGATGAGGATGATCAGACAGCTCTCGATCTTGGGCTGGCGGCGCACATGCGTGTACTTAAGCCCCAGGGCGGTTATGATCCCCACGATGATACCGACCAGCATACTGCCAAAGAAGACGATCAAGAATAGACCGATGGCCTCGAAGAAGTGAAGGAAGGTCAGCGATTCCGCATCGTTCTCCGCATACTTCTGGGCCGTCTCGAACAGGACAATAGCAATCGCATCGTTCAGGATCGACTCGCCGAAGATAACCGTGTAGAGCTTCGGCTCGACCTTATACAGGTTGAAGATCGCCAAGATCGTCACCGGGTCGGTCGCAGACAGCGTCGCGCCCACCGAGATCGCCTCGACAAAGGTGATATTCAGACCATCCAAGGGGATCCGCGTCCAGACGAACAGGACCGATCCCAGCACAATCGCAGAGATGAAGGTCCCCGCAAACGCAAACGTCAAGATCGTCCCGATATTGCGGAAGAAGTTCGCTTGGTGTAATTCGTACCCAGACGCCAATATAATCGGAGGGAGAAGCAGGTTGAAGAAAAATTGATAGTCGAAGGTAACGCTATCCTGAATGGGCGACTCGGGGCTCAAGCGTATAATCAAGCCGACAAACATCCCTACCCCCCACGTGTCAGAAGGTGGTCCTTGGCCCCTCCGGAACTCGAATCGACGTACCCGCAAAGATGGACAAGACTGTTTCATGGACGGCTTGGATCTTCTTCTGCTGCAGAATGTAACTCGTAAAGAGCGCGAATATCAACAGCATGATCAGAATGAACAGCGCCCAGGAGCTGAAGAACTCCTTGGTGCCCGCTTCGGGAGCATCTGTTTCAACCACCATGGATTAGACATCGCTCGTAGAACCGAGGTCGAGGGTGAGGGGCGCGTACCATCGTCGGGGTCAGACTCATATTCGGCGACTCTTCCTAGGAGTAGCAGTCGAGGTATCAGCATCGGGCGTTTCTATTTCTCTCGTTTCTGCGCCATCAAGACGAAAGGCAGTCGGCACGGGAATAACGCATAACAGCTCAAGAACTGGACTGGCAGAAAGAGATCAAAACAGGAAACCAAACAAACAGCACAAAAGAAATTCACAGCCAAGAAAAGGGATACATACGGAGCAAATGAAGGGCACCGCCCATCAGTTGTTCAGCCATTAAACTGGTTGGTAAGATGAAAGAGTGAAGGCAACCACGACGGCGAATGACACCACAGTGTTAACAACTGTAGATCAAGGCGCACATAATCCCAGACACTAATCCAGGACGAAAGAAATGTGTAGATAGCCTTACAGACGGGGCGTTGGAGAGAGGATGGCAGGATGGGGAAGATGCAAGTCAAGAGTGAATGAGAAGGAGAGCTCGGACGGGACAAGGAAGGACAAGTAACGGTCTAGTCCCGGTTTAAGCGCGTCCATCTGTCGCCCGGCCCGCCGATCCTCCTGGCGCATCTCTAACTATCTGCTATGTCATAATCTGACTACTCCGTACCCATTGAATTAAATCCGTTCAATTTCTACAAATCATGCCTCGGATTAAATGACCAAGTTAGAAAAATAAAAAGTATTAAAAAAAGAATATCACCGCCCCTCAGAAAGCCGTCCAGTCAGCCACGCCGCCACGAGCGCGGCGCAGCCCCCAAACCGGAGCACCCATCCGACACTATCATCCCAAGGCTCACCGCGAGGCTTCTGAAAGACCTTGAAGATCGCACTGCAGATCAAGCTGGACACGATCTGAGGAGATGAGACTGCCACGTTGTGGAGCCCCAGGATGATTCCCGCTTGCGCCAGATTCTCGTCGTCGTCGGTCGCCTTGCCAGTCGACGACCCGTGCTCGAGGTCGTCGCTGTTTGGATCCTGCTCCGGCTGGCCGTCCTGGAATCCACGATGCAGATCGTCAGATTGGTGCATCTCTGCCTGGTTACGTCGGACTCGACGTTCCGCGTCAACTCGCGCAACCTCCGCCGAGATCAGCGCGAACGGGGCCCAGAGCGTCATCGCCCAGGATATCCCCACGAGACCGATGACTACGGTCGCCGCCTGGTAGCTGTAGATAAAGAACGTGCTAAACATGCAAAGCGTGAAAAGAACATGGGACAGGAGCCACGCCCGGCGAAGAGTAAACCCCGGAATCTGTAGCTTCGATCCCCACTTAGCGCTGCCCTGGGAATCTCCATCTTTGTCCTGAGGCATGTTCGGTGCTGGCTCGGATGTGGTCCCGACCGGCAGGCTTGAGATTGACATCCTCCTCGTCTCCAGGAACGATTCCTGCTCGGCATTGCTATCGACAGGTATCCTCCCCGAGCTGTTCGTATCCACGGGTCGGTACGTCGGAACGACAAAAATGGGTAGCGTGAGGTTCGCAGCGAAAGAGACGATTGCGTAGACCAGCAGCGCAAAGGTTCCTATTCTCGTAGCCTCTTCCCAGGCGTCATCGATCTGCCTATCGGGCAAATTCGGATGCTCCTCGAAGAGAGGATTGACATAAAGCTGTCCGATGTAGGTGGTGGAGTAGAAAAGGAACGGGAACCAGCCCACCCACGCGGCGACCTGGACCTCGCAGACTTTGGCGATCTGAGGCGGTAGATTTTTAATCGATTTGAATACCTGCCTAAAAAAGGTCGTGATACCGGGATTGCTGGAGGAAGACGACCCCTCAAGCCGGGGATCTCGTTCCTGGATGTACGAGCAACTGACCAGCAACGTGCTGCAAAGCAAAATTGACGCCAGCGCGCACAGCACCTGGAACTGGGTATTTCCAAGGAAGGGAATATACCGTGGCAGGTCCACGTATCCAAAAATGTATCCAAGGATATTGCCCACCCCGGTAAGACGGCTCGCCCAAGCGTTTGCCGATTCCTGCTGATGCGTAGGAGCATTGTCCACGATGAAACATCGAATACCTGCTTGAACTATAGACAAAATGTCAGCAGCGGGCAACGTAGGGAACAGGGAACAGACAGCCATACCGGTATTAATCGCAAAATCCAAACAGTACATGAAAATCGTCGCCAGGACGATAACAGCCGTCCTAGTACCGGCCGAAGTCGAATCAACGCCAAAGATTCCCAAAAACCCTGCAACTATCTCCTTGACCCAGGCAAGGGCAAGCAGCGCGAATATTGTCCCCGCCCCACCCACAATCATAAACGGCTTCCTTTTGCCCCACGATACGCGGCAGTTATCACTGCAGATGCCAATATACGGCTGCACCAGGGCTCCTGTCAACGGACCGGCAATCCACACAAAGGCAAGCAAGGCCTTGCTCATCCCGAGAGACAGTAAGTACGGCTACAACCATATCAGTTAGCCTCCAACTCCCAAATAACGAGGCAGCCGGTACACTTACCGATCCATACGACAGCTCAACAGACCATACAACCTGAAGTCTACCCGACATGTCAATCGCCAAACGAACAAGCAGCAAGGAGAGTCAAGAGCTTACCCGCCAATACTCAACGTCAACAAGAACAAGTACCAACTACTCCTCGTCTCCGCGAGATCACCCGCGTGAGCATCCTGCCGACCAGCATCCCGTCCACCAGAATCCGGCAGTAAGTCCACATCACTATCGTTAAACCTGCGTTCCGGACCCACTAGGGGCGAGGTCTCGTCCGCAATCCGTCCATCGGTGTCCGTCATTGATGCCAGACTCCAGGACTCACAATATCGGGCTGATGATGAAGAAGGCTCGAGCACACCCAGCTAGATAAGCTGTATTCCCAAAATACGAATAATATAGTAGATAGGTAAGGACTAAGAACGGCCAGCGTTCATGGGTCCCGCGGTGCGCCACGCCCTGTGCGGAGTGTAGTGCGGAGTACAAAGATGGTGTATTATCAGCGACGATAGAAAGCGTTATCGAGCGTCTGCGAGCGACCCAGACCAAGTCACTCAAAAGGACTGAATCACGATTATTCTTAAATAAGTGTTTCCCGCGGATAGTGTTTGAAGGATGTTGGAATTGGAGGTTCTTGTGATGGCGAACTGCGTCGACGTCAGCAGGCCAGCCACGTGACCCGGTCTGGGCTGCGGTTTGGAGGGCGCGGAGTAATTGCTTCAACAATGAGGATGGTCGTATTATTACTATTGATGAGAATGGTTCGGATGAATAGAAGCATGCGGTGTTTATATCATGTGGGGTAGGATTCTGAGCGCTATTCCTGGTTTTATAGTACGCTTTGTCTACCTAGTCTCCAGGGTCTTTTTTAGCGCTATTATGATATCACAGATTACCGCGGGATCACGTATTTCGTCCTGCCTGGACAGCCTGAACAGATAGCTCCCTACACTTTTTGGGAACTACAGTAGAGAAAAATCAGAAGCTACAGGAATGACTTTGAGATATTGTTGTTGATTTTTACTGACATCTCAAACTGTTCGTTCCTCAGAACGATACGCCACTAGCAAACCAATTCGCACTGTGCTTCTTCTGTCCTACCTACCTTCCAAAGTCCCAATATAAACAGCTGGGAGTATAAAAAAATAAAAAATAAAATCAAAGAAAACATTATCAACAGAGCGCAAAATGACCAGACAAAACTAACGAGACAAATGAAACAAGGTCAAGGGAAAATAAAATAAAAATAAAATGCCAAGCAGTCAAGGAGGGCTAGCTATGAAAGTCACAATACGCGGCACAACCAGCGATGGTTTATATGGAAACAAACCCCAGCGCGAGCGCCAACAAGAGACAAAGGGTCACCCCGGCAATCCTGTGCTGGAAAATGACCCCCCGACCTTCCTGTAGCAAGAAAACAGGGATCGAAAAGGAAGACCCACGATATCAACAGAGCCACCCGGGTGACTCGCCAAATAGGAGACAGGAACAAACAGAGAACATCAGGCCTGCCCGATAACCGAGCAGAAACTTGCCAACATGGAAAGACACGCGAAGATATGTCCATGAATCAATAACTCTATTAAAAAAAAGAAGATAGGGAGCGAAAAGAAAAATGGGTCACATGAGGCACAATCAAGTGTTCTCATGCGGGAACGATGGCTGGCGAAGAGGTCAAATGACAGCGGATCGGAGCGAGTCCCACCATGGCGCTTAAATGTGCTGCTGCAGAAGTTGAGGAGCAATCAAGTGCGTCCCCATCATCGAGGGCATGGCGGTTGATAAGGTCATGGCGGGCGCCATCGACGCCATACTGGAGACATGGAGCATCGAGTGCGGCCCCGTATCCACTGGCGAAGAGTCTTCATCTGCCGAACCAGATTCGTTGTCCTCGTTTTCCAGATCTTCCTCGTGAGGTTGGAGTGGCGGCTGTCCGTCTTGCTGGGCCTCATGGATCCGACGGTGTCTGGGGTCAAAGGTTAGACCTTCCTATCTGGTGACGCAACGGGTACCGAAGAAACTTACTGTGCAAGGTTGTCGGAACGAGAGAAGGCTTTGTTGCAGTATGGACAAGGGTACGGCCGTTCTTGCGTGTGGGTCCTCACATGTCTAGACGCTAAGTGTTAGACGGCGGTTTCAGGTCTGAGAAGAGGAACCCAATCACGGGGCGCAATTGACGTCAAGGGCTAGGAGGGGACTGCAACTCACCGTTTCAGATGCTCTAGTCTCTTGAAGAGTCGCCCGCATGAGGGGATCGGACACGAGTGGGACTTCTGAGGGTAAGGCCCCAGTTCCATCATGGTCGCGCTGCGCGCGCGGCGGACAGGACCAGGGGCGAACCGATCCCCCTTGTGCGTCGCACTATGCTGAACGGCGTTCTCCAGGGTCTCGTTGTTGGGGAGCGCCGCTAGCTCATCGGCGGGGTTTGCGATCGTCAGGCCATTCTCCGGGTTCTCCTCCAACCCCGACAGCGGGGTCCCATTCCGGGACATCTCCTGGAGCAAGTTTTTCTGAGGAAGCATGGCCGACGGGTATCCATTCACGGTCCGATGCGAAGAGTCCTGGTGCGACTCCTCGACTTCTGCCACGGGGGCCACCGAGCTGGAAACTGAGCGTCGCAGATCGCTGGGCCGGTGCGCGGCATAGCTGACCGGCGGCGGTGTGTTCGTCACTTGCGACTGCGCGGCGGCCACGGCATTGGCAGCGCCCGGCGGGATGGACGAGCGCCGTCTGCGCTGCTTGTATGTCGGGGAACCCTCGATCATCGAGTAGACGTTTGAGTGGAACGACCTCGGTGGGGGCGGGAAGTGGGCGCTGGCGAGATTGGACGGGGGGAGCTGCATCATCGGGTTCATAGCGTGAGCTGACGAGAGCTCGGGGATGGCAGTGTAGAGACCGGTATCCTCGTTGGCGATATAGGCGGGCTCGGCGCCCAAGTGGGAGCTGTGCTGGGGTGGTGTGACTGGCTCAAAGGACAACCCTCGGTTGCTGTAGTCTTCATAGTGGGAGGAAACAAAGGACGGGGCTGGCGAGTATTCGACAAAGGTGGGCATGGATGCATGGCGCTGGTGAATCCGAGCCATCGGCATGCCATTGCGGTCGAACTGGATGGTGGTGTACTCGGGTTCGCGCTTCACAAGGCCCGGAGCCATGGCACTGGACATGGGAATCGCACTATACATGGCCGGGTGCCCAGACTCGTCCGGGAGAAGGGGCAGCGTCGGCGGAGCCATGTGGGGAGCCATCTGGGGGGGAGGCATTGCGTCAACGCTCCGAACCACTGGGGATGCGGGTTGGCCATATGTCGTACTTGCGTGTGTGGCAAACGATGAAGAACTCGCTTGTTGTGCCTTTGTAAGTTGCTCGTACAACGACTGGGACGAATCGTATTCGAAGGACAGGGCCGGTTCGCTGACGGCCACCGTGGTAGCCTCCTGACCCATCTTCTCCCGCTTCAAATCACGTTCCAACGCATCGAGAAACAGGCGGTCGTGCGGCACGCTGTACCAGTAGAAGACCTTTTGCTTTTTCTGCGTGCGGATGCAGTTGTTCTTGTACAGGAAGTCGAGGAACGGGCTCTTGGGCTCCTCCAAGGTGGCATCGGTACCGGCTTTGAGATTTCGGAGGTCGGAGAAGATGCCCTCCTCGAACTTCTTCGAATTCTTGACCGGACGTCCAAAGGCCTGGAATCGAAAGGCCAGGCATCGAACAATGTCGGTACCCGACACATGAAAAAGGTTACTCCTGCCGCCCAGTCAGTCACGAGCGTCATTTTTTCTTCCCTTCACAACCCGCGATGGTCTGCGGACAAACGAACCAGAGGACACAGGAGATATAGTCGCCGGTCGGAAGCAAGAATCGTCGGATCAGTTGATCAGGCTGCCAGTCCACAGGGGCCGACAAGAGGAAATATTTCACTATAGAGGGGGATTCGAGATCAGCCAGCGGACTCGACAAGGGATCGAACCTCGTACAGGATTCGAAGGGATGGAGAACGAATCACGACAGTGTCCGACTCACAGTTATCAACTTGTTGCAGGGCGACTTGCGCATCTTGAGGAAGGCTCTGCTGCGCCTCGCTCGAGAGCATGAATGTCTCTGGTTTCTGAGGAGGTGCCATCGGGGCACCAGGTTGAGGATACATGTTGCCAATTCTATTCTCACATCATTAGCCCAGTGGTGCTAGATGGGGGAGGGATTGGAATCGGCCCTTGCGAACAACGAAAGAACGGAATGGGTTTGACCAACGCCAGCCCTTTCACTGACCATCGTAGGATCAGACTTCCACGCCAAGGAGTTTGTACGTACCGTCAGAACAGCAACCCCTCTTCTAGTAGATTCTTCAAAGAGAACGATGGGGGACCAAGTCAAGTCCAAGGTAGTGACGGTCGAATGTCAACAAGCGATGATATAACAGAGGCTATAGGCACACTCAGAGGAACCAGCCTCCCGGAAATCGTCGTTAGGCGCTGACGGCGTGACACCCTTTCACAAAGAAAGGGACAAAAAAAGAAAGGTCGGGTTGGAGGGGCGATGGAAGAAAGAAGGCAATAGAGATGAATTGGGCCAGCCCACTTCCAAGTCTCCTTGAATAACTCGCACGGCGAAAGAGAATGAAAAAATAAAATAAAACAGGGAGGGGGGGAAGAAACGAAAGGCGATGAAAGGAAAAAAAAAAAAAAGAAGGCCAGTCGCGCGGAAGTGAGGAGGGAGAGAGGAGAAGAAGAGGAGGAAGAAAGAGGAATACCAAGTGAGGTCAGGGTCCCTTTAGTTATTTTTCCAGGCGGTTAGAGTAATAACAACAACAGTTGCCAGCAGTACTCAGTATACTACTAGTGGGATGGAAGAACAGTAATAATCATCATCAAATATGGGAGCGAATCGTCGTAATAGTAAAAATGATTATTATTGGGATCAAGAATAATAATATTAATCTCAATAAATAATTAAAATCAAATAAAATAATTATAATCATGATAACCACCATAATAATAAAATTATGATAATAATATAATAAACAATGGAGGGTACTAATAATAATTTCCAATCAATAATAATACACCATGATAATAGCAGTCACCATGCTCCACCCTGGTAATTATACAATCATACAACATTGTACAGAGTACGATCAGTGATTGATCTTGACAATTGAACTAAATAGATCAGGAGATTATGTTACTGATACTTGGCTTCAATACAATATAAATTGAAAAGTCAGCCAAAGTCATTACTAGTCAATATTAAAGACCTTAAACTAAGCCTGTACCTTACCTAGAGTGTTCAGGAACAAAGATGGAGGAAATCTCCATCGATCCAATGTGACCATACCGTGTATGCTCATTTCAGATACGATACATGCAGCCAACCCGGCCACCCATCAACCAATCCCGACCATCCAGGGACGGGTCGGCAGTAAAAAGGCCGGGTCATTTACTCTCGAGACCCGTACCCGTATGTATGGACCATGATGAGTGGGGTTTCTCCCTTCTGTCAACTTCGGTCCCCCAAGATTCCACACGATACTAAGTGTACTAGACTACTAGGTACTGGTAGTTGGGTACTCTTCCCCTCCACCACGACCGTATACCCGTTATTCTTACCCGGGACCCATCTCCCGGACTAGTTAGGCGAGGCTGGATGTTGAATGGACTGCTCAAATCCGGATTTAGATGGAGTACGAGGGTGAACTCCCGACGCCTTGACCAAGCGTCCTGATTCTCCTTCCCCATTTATCAACACGAAGCTGACTACTTGATGCCCCGGGGAGTCGAGGTCGTTTGCGAGATTGACGGATGGTGATCTTGATCTGTACTGGAGGAGAAATCAGATTGTTGGTATTAACATAATATAAAATTGATGAATATAAATGAATAGCTTATATAGAGAAATATGGGCATACAAAGTATAAAGTATAAATGAAATATAACATAATATAAAACTAAACATTAAATATTAAATATAGAATAGAAAGGATGGGATAAAAAATAATGAAAGTAAGGATGGAAATAAGATGACATGAGCTCATCCATGGTTGGTGATGGGGACACTTCGTCCCAACCCAGTACCTGCCTCAATAGCTTCACTGGGTGTTCTCACGCCTTTGAGAAGGGGAAATAAAAAAGAGATGCATACAATAGACTAAGATAATGAAAACGAGCGAAAGCCTACGTAGAATATTGGATATTCTACATATGCACCGCACATCTGGTCCAAGAGGCTGGCCAGCAGATTAATCATTAGTGGATTAATTGTCGCAAGCACTTCTGCAGACATTAGCACATCCCCAAAGTCTCCCCAGCGGTTAAACAAACATCATGGGTCCCTTGGTTGGCAGCTGAGCCGGGAGGGATGGATGGCCGGGACTGAATCGGTCCACCCCGTCGTCAACCAACCACGACCACCCAATGGATCATCTAATAATATAATTTCAATGGATCCAGTTCCCTAGGTAGGTAGGTTCAATGGTCTTCTGGCAACTCCTGGATTTGAAGATACCAGTCGAGACCACCGCTGGACTTTGGGACCCGGAGTCAGGGAGGGTCAAGGAGTGGAGACCGCAAACAATGCCAAGCCTGCACAACCCGATAAAACTGGCGCGGGAAACAATTGTGAAGCATCCGCCCCTTGTTTCAACCATTTTTTTTCCTTCTTTTTTTTTTTTTTTTTTTTTTCTCCAAGAAAAGTAAAACAGAAAAATAATAATATTTCTGTGATTTCAACCTGGAGTTATTTCGGAATCCCTGCAGGCGCTTACAACCAACCAATTAATCCCACCAGACAATAGTAGTATCTTTCCCCCCTTCCACCACTCCAGCCTTCCGGCTCCTTAATTCTCAGTCCACTATTCCCGTCCCAACCTACGGGACTATTCTCCTTACAACTGGCCTAGTTTATGTTTATGTATATAGGTAACGACTAAACCACACTGTGAAGGCCCTAGATAGAGGCTAGAAGGATGTTCCCGAATCCGCCACTGACTCCTGCCTATCTAGGTAGATATCATCGGCATTTTCCACCCATGCTTACCTTACCTCCGTCTTTTCTCTTTCACCACAAGTCCACAACGCAATCGGTGCACAGTTCGAGCTCCCTCTTGTCCTCCCTCCCTGTTGTGCTGAGGGGGAGATATGAGTTCCGTCTGACCTGACAGGTCAACCACCCCTTTCCCCCTGTAGTTAGCTACGTTCAGGGTCATCGATCCCGCAGGTTCAGAGTGCCTACTTCCTTTGTCCCTTAGCTATACAGTGCTGAGTGACAGCCAGTCAGCCTGACGAGGAAACGAATGGCTGTTGGAAATGGACTTATCTACTCGATCGATCCTGCGAGCAGGCGATGGATCCAGGTTACACTGGGAGGTGGTTTCCCGCATCCCTCGCCGTGTAAGCAGAGGACCCAGAACGCGTGATGCTCTTTTGTTACTCTCAGTGGGCTAGGTAATCTCAGCGTGTACGACACCTGGGTATCCAATCAGCACTCGAACATGTTGTGCTTGACATTTCAATATCAACCGTAGAGGAGAGGTGCCACGACATAGTTAGCCCGCGCTGAGCTTCGATATCCCGGAAAAGCAAGACTCGCCAGATGACTCGTCCAAATCACTTGTCTCTCCTCGAGCTATGGTTCCTTTGTTCAACCTCTATCTTTAGGTACGTATATAATTTGCCCAACGCCCCGGCCACTTGTTCTAGATTCAGGGCAGAGACCACGTCTCCATCGAGGTAAGCGATGGCTGTCAACCATGGAACGGGACAGTTGGGTTCCCCACAACAGGTCCCCATCCAGGCCCTCAGTAGGAGCAAAGGCTCAACAAGATCTGGACTTGTCGTGAAAGTGGCGCACTTGTTTGATTGACTAATCTTTTCATCATTCTTAGCGCAGACTCGGAGACGGTAGGTTCGGCACTTGTTGGCCGCGGTTAGTGGTAGTTACTGGTTAGTTAGTGCTTCAAGCAGGTTGTGCGGTATGTGGCAAGCGGGATGGATGTTCGCTACCCAGCACCTATTCATCATGTGCCGTGCCAACCAATCATACCTTTTTTGCCCTAGAGAATCTTGCCGATGGATCATCCCCTATCATAACTACATACAGGAATTTGATCACGGCATGTATGTATGTCAGTCGACCACAGTAAAGATCGACGGTCATCCAATCCCACATCGCAACCATCGCCCTCGAGGCAGACGAATGCGGGGTTCTGCTATGCAAAGGGGGTATCTTCCCATTATCAAATGGGAGGTCACAAACCCGTTGAAGAAGAATACCATTCTCTGATCCTTTCTAGGTACTATACAAACCCCTTGGCCACATACCATGTATGTATGCAGCAGATAAACAACCCAACGGTCACCATCCGACCTAACGAGATCTGCAGGGTCAGGTTGGCAGTGCCAATGATCTACTATGATATAAGTATGATATGGTATGTTATGATATGATATATGACACCGGATAGACGGATGGATATGACAGCCTCAGAAACCGGTAAGAACCGCCACATAGGTACTACCTACACTATACTAGGTAGTAGGTACGGTACAGTACTACTAACTAACCAAGCAAATCCCGAATTCTATCCCCAAGCAGTAGGAGAATCATCTCTAGTCACAATAATAGCCGATGACGATGAAGATCACAACTTAACAAGATCACACAAGATCTAGAATTATATTCCTGCCTACCTGGAAAATGGGGGGACCATGGTCACTCACAGACCATACGTAACTTACTCCTAGTAGTGGTCTCCTGCCCTCTTCGTTCTACCGGCTTTTTTTTAACGTTTGTTGGTTCGATCCGTTGTGTGCCTCGTTCAATGGGTAGGTACTGTACTAAGGTACGGAGACCTGCTAAGGAGACCCACAATTGGTTCTATACTTTTTTTTCTCTTTTTCACTTTCCATTTCGGCCGAAGTATGGAGTTCCGAGTCGACACTACCATCTTACGATTGTGGATTGGATTTGTTGGTGGATTGGTGGGGTCACTTGGTGGTTGTGGATTTGAACTGTAGTAGTAGATATTAGATTGTATCTTAAGATAATCTCATAGAAAATTCTCCTCCATCTAGGTTCCTAGTCCACTCTCTCGATAGTCCCACAATGAAGGACTAGAGGATGTAATGCTTGACTACTCCCTACAGCAGTTAGTTCATACAATGCAAGTAGCCACCTTACCTACATACACACATACTAACTAATAATATAGTTACCACCCGGGAGAACGGAAGACCTCGCATCATCCTTGTCTTCGTTATAGAGCTGCCAGGTCCCAGAGACCCTATTGTCGGAGACATATACCCCATTGTTAAGGCTTCTCCGAGAGACTTATATTAAAGTCTTCTTCCGCAGTGTTCCGTAGATTATATCTTCTTATCTTAGAGTGCTGCTGCATATTAAGTTTGATTATTGTCTGCGAGGAACAATCTTGGAAGGTCTGGTGGGTCGGCAGTAGTCAATTAGGGCTTTTTTTTACCTTACTCGTTCTGCTTTTCGGAAGTGTGGTTACTGGTTACCTACTTACTACCTACTACCTACGAGTAGGCATTTTACCTCTCCTTTTGAGAAAAAAAAAATATAACAATGAAATAAATACTAATGATAATGCTGCGTACAACGAGTCAAAATGTCTGGGTCCGACTCAGTCATGGACTCAATGGCCATGTCGAGAACATATGGGTCCTGCCATGTCGAGAGAAAACCCGCCGTAAATAAATAATGATAGACATCGTTAGTACCACGAAACGACCGACGCCAAGTCTGGGCCGCCCCGTTATCGACTCGTCTCCAGTACTTCCTCCCTTTAGTCCTCCAGCCCAGTCCTCTAGAGTCCTAGGCTAAGGTACC